GTGCCCATTCAGCAAAATTATTAATTGCATGTTCAAGGGGTCAAATCTATTGTGTAAATTGGTGGAAACAGTCAAAGCCAAACTCAATGGAGGAGGCAAAAAAATTCTTGCTAGAGCTTTCCATTGGTGGACAAGTTACTCGATACCCACTTTGAAAATTTTACAAAACCTCATTGTCTTAGGTTTGAATCCAGTAAAGGTTGTTGGAACTTGAAGATTCCTCAATTTTCATTCAATCACAGTGAAAAAGACCACACCCACCACCACTATAACCAGCATACCCACCGCCACTATAAAGATTTTTTTTTTTTTTATTCTATATAAGGTCGTAGTAAAAAGTGCCCGATGTAAAAAATTAACTTCTGCCTATTACCGAAATAAAAATGTATTAGCATAATTAAATTATCGAAGTTAAAAAAATTGAAACAAAAAGATAGGCATTTGTTTCGGCATTTTGTGCCGAAGCAAAAATGACTATTTGCTTTAGCATTTTGTGCCGAAAGAAATTACTGGAATAAATTCAAAATTTTTTGCTTCGGCCTATTGTTGATGCAAATATTTCATTTTTTACTTCAGTTTTGCTAACCGAAGCAAAAATTCATTTTTTGCTTTGGCATAAATAACTTTGAAGCAAATATTCTATTTTTAGCTTCAACCTTCCTAACCGAAGCAAAAATTCATTTTTTGCTTCGACATTTGCCCCAAGTTAACAACTTTTTTTCTTGTAGTGTACCCACNTCAACCTTCCTAACCGAAGCAAAAATTCATTTTTTGCTTCGACATTTGCCCCAAGCTAACAACTTTTTTTCTTGTAGTGTACCCACCATCATTTTGGATCACAAAGAGTCAATTTTGGTGGGTGAGAAATGGTACTTTGCTTCCGATGAAAATAGGAACCTAACAATTTTAGCTTTGGTTAGAGGTGCACAGCACTTGATTCATTTGTCATGCAAACCAGCCAAAAATATGCTTAGAGAAAAAAGAAAACATGACAGAGAATAACCCTTAACGGGATGGGTTCAAAATCCGGATCACTCAAATTACTAAACACTAAAACCCTACCTTTATGTTGATTAGGTTTGGAACTGGTATCACAAATATGAATTCAACATCACTTGATTGTGCGTGTACGGATTTATACACGAAACTAAGTCACACTTCTTAAAAAATAATGACATTTAGTATGTATGAATGCTAAGTTTTATGCAATTTTGTATAATAGTTAAAACAATATAAGAAAAGATAAGAGTTTCAAAACAAATCGTAACTCAACACCGAGTGCGAGTAAAGTTTACTCGTCCCACCGTACATCCATGAAGTCTCGTATCCCGTACCCGGTCCGGATACCCATTTGACTCACAATTTAAGTAATATTAGTTCAAACCATTAATGGATAGTTACTTCCGAATCATTGTCGTCTTACTCTTGTTCACTCAATCTCAAACCAGGCAAAAACAATAACGTTTCATTTTTATCCACACGTAGAGTCACCTCTACTTTTCACAATGAAGCTCGTGATGTACTACTACTCTAAACCAAACAACAGGGGATAAAGTGAAATTTAATTCGACAAGCCTTATCTTCACGCTTCTAGTTTTGTAATTGTCCCATACGGAAATCAGTTGCAGAAAATACAAGTACAAACCAGAAATGGCAATAGAGAAGACAAGATTCTTCCCATAGATTTCAACAAACAAACCCACCCCACCACTACTACCACTCAATAACATCACCAAACATCCTTACTAGAGGCCAAAAACTGGTAGGTCAATAAGCAATCTGACCTCAACGCAACAGTAAAGCTGAAAGGTGCATTGTCTCACATAAGGATAACAGGCCAAAATCTAACCATGCGTAACACAGAAGGAAGGAAAGAGAGAGAGAGAGAGAGAGAGAGAGAGAGAGAGAGAGAGAACATTAAGAGGGGGAAATGGGTAATGTTTATTCAGAAGGGTTCTTGATTCTTGAAGTTCCATCAGTACAAAATATCAACAGATATCTAGTTAACTTTCTGTACTACTTGCACTAACCTAAATCATTGAACCCCCAAACTATCATACTATTTACCCTTTCCCTCTCAAATGATCTGTTAGACAAAGGGTCTGGTTATATTTGCTGTTAATTTTCAAGCTTTGTTATGTTACAGATCATTGGTCTAAAATCTACTCTAGTTGAAAGCCCTACTTTTCTCTACAAGTAAAAGAAGGGTGGCGGAAAATGGAAATATACCACCACCATGAAAACTAAAAGCAATTCCCACAACTGTTCTAAACTATCCCAAGCTTGAGATGAACTGAGCATTTGTAGGAAAAGTAAGTCATGATGAAACACTAACATCTTTCAAGGCTCCATCTTTACCCATTCATAACGGCCCAGAAGGGGTTTCTCGTTCACGAGATCAAAGTTGTACCTGCAACAAATATTCAGTGGGAAAGATTATATTACCACAAGGTGGTAAATGGCATTTGCAGTTAGTATGTCACAAGGGAAAGAACCAAACACAAAAAAACATATGGTGATGTGGTGTACTTCTCAACAAATTGTCTTTGCTGCTCTTTTTCTGCACCAGCAAAAAACTCTTCCATTTCAAGTGCCATTGGAATGTGTCTTTCCATTGAATTTTGAATTATACCATTAGCCTCAGTTGAACTGGTAGGACTAGTAGTAGAACCAAGAGTTCTGATGTTGTCTGGATCCCTTATCAAACTAAATGGTGTGGTCTCCCTAGCGCTCCTGTTACAGAGATGTAATCCATATCAGAAACACATTGTAGAAATTCCACAGTTAAGAGATGAACAATAGAATGCGCTGAACAGTAAACGGTCTCCTTTCCCCAATCATGAAGAGTACCCCACCTGATATTCAATAAGTGCATGTGCCCACCAATCATTTACAGCTTTGCTATTCAAGATACCGATTTACCAAGGCACAAAATGTATTCATCATGTTACAATACAAGGCAATGAGAAATTTTTGTCACACCTACACTTGGGAGAACAAGCTACAAAAGGGCCAGCAAGAATTTTACTCACAAACTCCAATTTTTATTCTTTTTTTTTTTTACCAATGGAGACGAAGCTCTCCGCTCATTTGCCATATCATGCAAAAGAAAAACAAACCATAGCTCCTGCTCATTTACCAATCAGTGAAAACTGACAATTTCTTTATATAAAACCTCAACAAAATTACAAAATAAACAAAAACTGTGAAAATGGGTAGAACCCACTGCTAAATATGTCATCATAAGAACAAAGATACAAGTCATTTTTCATGTGATTCAGGGAAAAGGAATAGAGATAAATTTGGGGAAAAAAAAAAAGAACACAAACATATTGCTTTCTAGGTCAGAAAGGAACAGCGGGAAACAAAGATGAGGGAGAATTGACTTAAGTGGTTTGGACATATTTATGGACGGCCTATTATGGCACCAATGAGAAAGAGTGATATGATAGCTATTGGCGGAAAACACAGGGGTAAAGGAATATCAAAATTAATTTTAAATGAAATAGTAAAAAAAGATATAATAACTTTTGTTTTAAGAGAACACATGGCCCTTAATAGAGCTCAATGGCGAAACAAAATTCATGTAGCTAACCCCAAAAAAAATTGCACAAGACTTTGTTCTTTTGAGTTGAGTTTACAGGTTTGCCAAGCAAATATGAGAAAATCTTTAGAACTACACAATTTCCCCTACAAATCACAAATGCACTAGCAAAACAGACCACAGCACTGGGACTTGCCGAGAGATATGAACTTAAAACTCTAATAATCTATATAGTGCAAAACGCTATATTTATATGAGTTTTAAGTTCATATCTCTCTGCAAGTCCCAGTGCTGTGGTCTGTTTTGCTAGTGCATTCCTTGATTTTGCTACTTTTCTTTGCCTACATTTTTCTCAGAATGGGAGGCTCCGAACCAAACTTTTCCAAGGTTTTCTTCATTAAATAATCTATTGATTTTAAATAAAAACTCTAAACCTCCCTCCCCACAAATAAGGAAAAACTCAACTCTATTGATTTTAAACTCCAAAAGATGAAAATCAATTATTCAATTTTCTTTTCGACTTTTCCAAGATTTTCTTCATTAAATAATCTAAATTAAAATTTTCCATTTACATAAAACACTAATCTTAAAAATTGAAATTTCACATAACGAATGCAATAAATTCCGTCACTATTCACTCAATTAATAAAACTCCAAAACATTTTATCAGAAACAATACAAATTAATTTTGAATTTCTGAATATACCCCAAGTTTTCTCACCAACCAAACACTTCATAAAAAAATCTTTCAAACAAACACTAATTAACCAAAATTCACGCTCCAACACTATTTCAACGTTTTCTCACCAGAGCACTTCTGAAAAATAAAATTAATAATACCTTAATCAACAAAATTGAGTCTTAAGAAAAAATCATCTATCGAACTCCATAATATTTCAGCCAAAAAAAAAAAAAAAAATAAAAACCAAAAGAATTCACATTTTTTCATTCAAACTCCAAAAAAATTCCTCGCTAAATAAAAAGATAATTTTCATTTATTCACATACCCAAATTTCTCAGCAGCCAAACAGAGCATGCAAAAAAAAAAAACGTATTTTGCACAAAGCATGCCAAAAACCTCTTCTTCTTCTTCTTCTTCTTTTTTTTTTTTACCGAAAAAGCCCTAATCAACAAAAATCCCAGCACAAAAATTCATCTTTATTATTTCAAAATCCATAAAATTATTCACAAGAACTATTTATTCAATTTTCCCAGATTTTATCAGAAACCAAACAGAGCATGAAAAAAAAAAATTCGCAAAAACTCCAAATCAACCAAAACCCAAAAAATCACTTTTATTAATTCAAAGTACAGAAGATTATTCACATTAATTAAAAAAGAAAATTCGTTTATTCATTTTTCCCAGCAAACAAACAGAGTATGCAAATCAACAAAATTGAGAAAGCCAGAAAAACCCACCTCTCTCTACCTTCAAATTCGAACATATTCTCTCCGAAAGACGCTTCAAGAACCCTATCACCACTCTCTTCTTTGTTGTCAATTTCTTGATTATCTGTATCCAAACAACCCTCCTCTTTACCCACCATCTTGTCCTCCGCCTGCATGCAACCATTTTCTTCGCCAAAAGACCCAGAATTGGCAGAAGACCCAACTCTCAACCTCGAACTCGTTTTAGAACTAGGGTTTTGGTTTACCTTTTCTTGCCTAGGGTTTGGCAAATTGCTCTGTTTTGGATGCTGTCTCTGTCTTTTTGCATCGATGTTGGCCACAACGATTTGGGGTTTTTCTAGCCGTCGACTTCTGAGCTGAAGGTAGGACCCATCGGAGTCCGCCACCGCTGCCGCCGTAGAGAGCGGTGCAGCCGCGGATTTCTTGAGACGTCGCAAAGCTAGGGTTTTGGCCCTTGTACGTACGCCTAGAGAGGCTTCCACGAGGGCTCGCTCTCCTGTTGTCTTCGACTTCCTCATGAACTTCCCCATTTTTGCTCTGCGTTAGCGTGCTTGTTTAAGACAAAGCCCCCACGGAATTTGAAAAAGAAAGCATAGGGAAAGAGAAGACAAGTGGAGTTTCAAGAAAGAAAGAGAAAACAGGTGGTAGAAAAAGAGGGGGAGAGAGACAAGGGGTGGGTTTTCTGTTGTCGGTTGTACAGAGAGAGAGAGACAGAGAGAGAATGGAAGATGAGCGGTTTGCAGTTGTTGGTTAGGAGCTCTTTTTCCGGAAGGGAAAGGGAGGACTGAAAAATGAAAAAAAACAGGGTTGGGGCAATGGCATGAGAGATTGTAATTTCAATATCTCATGGTATAGTTCTTGTAACTATTGTTAAATTTACCATCTCCCTCGTCAGACATTTTTTCTTTCTTTTTTTTTCTTTTTTCTTTTCTTTTTGTTGTGGTGTGTATTTTTGAATTGTATTTTCTTTGTTGTGTTTTTTTAATCAAAATATCGTATTTTAGATTTTATATAGACAATGAATATCGTAAGAAAGCTATACATATAGCCACATCGACATTTCACTCCAAAAAACTTTAAGAAGGTTGTGATTTGATGAGTTAAGACAAAATTTTAACCTTGAAAAATATCACACGGAACTTATTGTATTGTCGTGTCAAGTACGTGCGTGGGGCACCTTGTGGAGTCTTTTTATGGTTCGCAAATACACCAAACAGTGTAGTCAGAGTTAAAAATTGGACATACGTATTAATATAAATGGATTATGGAATAGACATTGAGTACAACACGGTCGGGATCCCACAATAAGCTTCCACGGGTCGTGAGGGTTATGGTGGGGCGGTGGGGGTGCGGGTGGTAGTGGTGGGTGTGGTACGGTGGCGATAGTAGTGATAGGGGTTGCGGCGGTGGTGGTGGCGGTAGAGCGGTGGGGGGGGTTGTAGAGGTAATGGTGGAGTGGTTTCAAACACTTTTTTTTTAAAAATATTTATAATAAATAATTATTAGAAAACACTTTTAAAAAATTACTTCAAACGCACCCTTAGGGACCTATTTTTTCTATTAAATTTGAGATTTTAATATTAGCCGTCAGATTAACTTTAAAGTAAAATTTAAATATATCTTAACTACGAATAACAAAAATTATTTTATTTATTTTTTAAAATTTGAATTATATTATGTTTTATTATATAAATTTTAGGCATTCATATGTTATATAAACCAGGATTAAAGTATTTTAATTCTTTATGACTTTTTAGTACATTTTCTAATATAACAACATCACAAAGAATGATGTTATTTGAACTTAAAAATTTGATCTAATTTATTGACATAATTATGCGTCTACATAAAAATCATTGGATTAGTACCAAGTTCTAATGTTTGATAAGGCCTACAGTCAATTCAAACGTCACAGTGAATTAGATCAATAAACTAACTTCCAATAATATTGGCAAAGGCATAAAAGATTTGAACAAAGAAAATAATTGTTTAACCAAAGAAAAGAAATACAAAAATGAAAACAATGTACACAGCTATTAACTCGCGATACGAGTTGTAGGGGACTTATAAGACTCGCGAGAACTAAGCATTGGATACCTTCTTATTTGTGGCCAAGTGCAAAGAACCTGGAATTGAATTATTATTTTTTGTTGTTTAAGTATTTACTACGTTAAAACCTATGCCCCACCCCTTAAAAATGGGGACCACTCTACGTTGGGGTTAAGAGGGCATTATCAAGTTTCCTCCACTTTTGAAATTAAAAGTTGGCCTAATGCTTATTGTCCGTATATTAGATTTTAAGACAGCAAGTTTGAATATTATTATTATTTTTTTATAAAAATAAAAAATAAACAAGTCTCTTTTACGAGCCCGGTGAAAAATAGTATATCCTTTTTTATAATGTGGATATTCATATTTCAAAGAAAAAACAAGTTTTATCGGTACCATAATTAGGACTCTTAGTCGACCAAGTTCGAGCCGAACTCAAACCAAGTCTAAAAAACTTGTTTCTTAATCGAGTCTAAGAAATTGTTTAAGTTCAGTTCGTTTAGAAAACGAGTCGAGTTCGAATATTTACACATAAATCAGTTGAGTTTGTCAAACTTATCGGACTTGTTTTTTAAACGAACTTAAAAACTTGTTTAAGTTCGAGTTCGTTTTCTAAACGAACTCGATTTGAACGAGTCAAAAAGAATAAAAAATGAGTCGAATTTGAGCCAAAATCGAGTAGTTTAGTTCGATTAACAGTCCTAATCATAATTAGATGAAAAAAAATATTATTTTCTTGATATCTAAAATTATATTTCATAAGAATTTTTCGTTTTCAAATTCAACAAATCATGACTTTTAAGTGTAAAATCGTGTTTCTAAATCTCTATTTTCAGGCAGAGCCATTTATGTTAGCTTCCTTCTAGATTGAAAACCTTTTTCCCTTAAGCCCAATAATATTATAATAATCCATCATTCTCTTTTATCTTTCAATATTCTCCATTTCAATAACATTATATGTGTCCATTTGTGTCGTGTCACGTCATCAATGTGTTATTATTTTTGTGTCATTTCATTGTAATTTGTATCGTCTTTATATTAATACTTACAAAAAAAAATTATTTAATATTTTATAAGTTTCAAACATTAATCAACTTAATTATTATGCATATTTATCAATCGTGTCAATTTTAAATTTGTGTCTCATAAATAACTTTATTTAGACCTAAAATACATGGTTTACTAATCTAATTGATCATAATAATTAAACGATAATAAATTTTAATAAATACTAAGACTCACAGTCAATTCAATATATATAAATGACATTACTTTTCTCCATTTAGTGAGTAATCCAATGCAAAGGAAAAAAAAATTTGTTATAATAAAAAAAAAAGATATTGTAATATCATCATATTTCTGAATACCAATCAAAGCAACTCTGGCTCTATTTGATTTACATCTCAAAAATTGTTTCCTGTTTTCGAAAATAGTTTTGGGAAGAAAAGTTGTTTGATGAATTTTTTTTTTTTTGAAAACTGAGAACAAAATTTAAAGAATAAGTTAGAACTGTTTTGTGTGTTTTTGGAAATAACTTTTTTAGAATTTACAAAACACTACTATAATACTTTCACTACCACCACACTTTCATCATCATGACCACTATCACCGCTACATTTTCATCATCATCACATTTATATTTTTATTATTTTTTAGGTTATTGTCCAAATAAGTTTTATTATTTTCTATTAAGTAGAATTATTGTTGGAATTATATAATCAAAAAAGTACTACGACACAAAAAATACTAAAAATAATTTTCTAAAACCCTTCAAAAAATTAATTTCTAGATGTTATTTTTTAAAACACAAACCAAAAAGTGCCTCCAAATTCCTTTGAGTTTCTCTCCGTGCCAAATTGTGGACATGGGTTGCTTGTGTTTTCATTCCTACTCTCTCATTCCCACTTCTTTTTTCCTAAAGTTTTTCTTCCCTTTCCTTCAAAGCTAATCATGCTTTGAAATGAAGAATTGAAATTTGAATTCGTTTATAAATACCCGTTCCAAAAAAATTCATTTATAAATAAAATTCAATGGTCCTACTTGGTTTTGAAAGAAAAAAAATCATCCATCATTGGGGTTGAATTATTATTATTACTATTTTTTTCAAACATTTGGACCAATTTGGTATCAAATTAACAAAAAAGACGGTTGAATTATGTAGTTTCATTCTAATCAAGAACATATGGAATGGGAAAAACTTATATTGGGTATGATTTTTTAGCCTGAATGCCAATTCCATGGTTGGTTTAGCATTGCATTAAATGGGGGGAAATCAAAATTTCTAAATTAATTTTTTTTTGACTTATTTAAAAAAAAAAATACGTAAACAATGGCAAAGAAGAGCATGAAAAAGGGCCTAAGATCGTCTCTCATCTCACACAAACTTTTACCCAAATTTGAGTGAAAAAAAGAGTAAAAAAATTGATTTGATAGAGATTTTTCCAATGGACGGATTCTTTTTTAGACTCAAATCTTTTTAAAAAATTTCAATGTTATCCCAATAACTCTTTTTTCTTAAAAAAAATAATCTAAATTCGTATATACATAATTTGTATGTACTGCATTTGTGGCAAATTCGTTTGTACATAAATCGTATGCACTGTGTTTGTGGCAAAATTTCATTAAGTGCCTCTTGTGGCAAATTGAAAATTCCAAATTCGTATGTAATAATGAAAATTCCAAATTCTATTAAGTATACGAAAGTATATATATCTATATATATATTTTTTGAAAGTATAAAGATATATATATATATATAGATTCCTAAACATATTGTGTTTGTGACCAGAGAGAGAGAGAGAGAGAGAGAGAGAGAGAGAGGGTTTACTTGAAGAGAGATCCACCGACAAACACAGAGTTGAAGCGGTGTGAAAAGAAGAGAGAGAATATATTTTTTACCGTTAGATTTTTGGGTATAGGTTTTGAGTCTCCCTTAATTTGGCTTTAGAACAAAGTTTCTCTTCATTTGGTATAGGTTTGGGTATAAGATTGAAGAAAGTTTTTTGCCCACTTTTTTTTTTTTGTATGTCTTTTTACCCTAATTTAAATTTGGATCTAATAGAATTCGAAAAGAATGGGTATAAGAAATCAATCTTTAAATTGAGGTTAGCAGTTAGCCTAATAATTACAATCCCGTAATTAGATCTTAAGATCGTGAGTTCAAATTTCGTTATCCCCCTCCATATAATAATGTCTCACAAAAAAAAAAAAAGGCATAGTTGATTTATATTTCTTGAATTCATGATATCCAATTGCTGTTACAAATATAATTAGTGTAATCTCACATTTTTTTTTTCAAATCAAACCTTGGAAGTCTGGAATTAGGGAAATTACAGTCAAGGCATGGGACCAGTGGTGAAAATGAAATGGCTTTTTGTATGCCTCTTTGAAGACAGAGCTCTCTCTCTCTCTCTCTCTCTCTCTCTCTCTCTCTCTCTCTCTCGTTTTCTTTTTTTCTAGGATTTCAATAGTTCAATGAACCTTCTGGCCATTGATGAAATTGGTAAGTCATAAATTTTTGTGGCACAAAATTCCTTAAAAATCACTGAACTCTAGTTCCATTAATGGCTTGACTCTTGACCACTCGAAATGGAAAAATGCCCCTTATCTTGTTTGGTTTCGATCGCAACTTAAAAAGTTATTGTTTGGCATTAAAGTTTTGTGTTAGACTCCTCTCCAATCGTAAGATAATTGGAGAATTTTTTAATTTGTTTA